CCAAGATCGTTCTGTACTGGCCCTGGCCCGTCTCGCTGTTGGCTATACGATCTCCTGGAAAGCGAGGCGCGAGTTCGGTTTGTCAACACTGATACAATAAAACCTCTGGTTAGAGAGGAAGCTCAAGGAAAGCGAATTGTGAACTCTACAGAAGTGCGACTCGTATCGCAATTGGTAGAAAGCCTTCTCGCAGTTGGAGTACCTGCGTCCGAAGTAGGTGTCATGACTCATTACCGAGCCCAGCTGTTCCTTTTGAAAGACCGTCTGAAGGGTTACGCGGGAGTTGAGATGCACACCACTGATCGATTCCAAGGACGAGACAAGGAGGTTGTCGTCCTCAGTCTTGTACGGAGCAACGAAGCATGCAACATTGGAGACCTGCTTAAAGATTGGAGGAGAATTAACGTCGCGTTTACGCGAGCCAAGACAAAGCTTCTGGTTGTAGGAAGCATGAATACCTTGAAACACAGTGGAAAAGAGAACATGCTAAGCAAGTTTATTTCTTTGATGGAAGGGCGGGATTGGATATATAATCTGCCAGCAGATGCCCTTGAGAGCCATCATTTTGAAGAACTAAGCACACCCATGACTGCTGGCCCAACACCAAAGTCAAAGTCTCCTAAGAAGACAGTGAAGAAGGGGGTATTCAGCCTTGAAGGCAAAGAAAATCGCCGTCCATCGCCAAAGAAGGCGAGGATTGGGGAACGGGCCCTTTTGAAAGGAAAACTGGTTACAAGGGACATCCTTAATGAAATGACGAATGGCGCATACATGGGGGTTTAGGAGCAGAGACATCTTTTGATTTAAACCTATGGATACGGAAACATGCTAGATTGGCGTATATGTACGGGGTATCAATTGAATACTAAATAGAGCTTGGCTATTAATCACCATTTTGCACGGGATTATCGTCATCTTCGTCTTCGTCTTGAAATTCGTCGTCGAATCTGGTGTCAATTAATTAGCCTAGAGGTCCTGAATAAAAGAATGCTCAAAACAGACTCACCCCTGCTCCCCAACTATAAGTTTTGTATACTTCTCTAGCTCCTCAAGTTGAACTACACAGCCGGTTAAGCTCTCACTGTATGAAAAACTGTAAACATCGCTCCACTCCTTATGCTTTTTTATATCATGTGGTGGTGCCTTTTTGGACATGTCTTCTTCGACCTCGGCCGTTTTGACTAATAGCTTTTTTCTGGCTGCAGCAGCGCTTGGCATATAGAGCTGTGACACCAGTCAGTTTTGCAATATCATATACTGGCAACTTTTGATAGCCTTGACATACGGGTACTTTTCGTTTAGATCGAAGAGCGCCAGCTAAAATGTATAGATTGCCCAAGATGGCGGCTACAGCGTCGCGACGGTAACTGAGGAGTTGTTGGGCAGCCAGGGGGTCGTCTCTGATATAGCTTGGGTTGTAGAATATGGCGGACCGGCGAACGGTGATAAGGTGATCAAAGAATCTTTCACATGCGTCTGCCAATCCGGAATATGGAAGAGGGTCGAATGGCGCGCGCAGTCGAATTTCGTGGCGGGTGAGAACCTGTATGACTTCTGGTCAGAGGACGCTGCGTCGACATAGGATAGCATACATACTAGAAGCTGGCGAATTCTGACGAAACCCTCTCGCAGTCTCCCTTCGAGTATCTCTGACCTCTGTATGTCTTCCGGCTTCGGTTCTTTGCCGTCACTGAAATATACGTAGCTGCCAACCACGTCTATCAGAGTTAGTGTGGTCGTTAGCCATTATTGGAGGCTTTACTAACTTCTGTATAGGATGCTCATGAAGAAGAGCATTGACGAGAGTGCGTGTCTTAATTCACGGCGAGCCACAAAGGGCCACAGGACCCAGTTGACTATTATCGGCACAGCAGTTCCAATGAAAAAGGCTAGACCATTAAATACGGCAAATGTCGTGGGAGATGAACCTCCACCGTGTGTTTGTAAACCAAGAGACGTTACGGTAAAAGAAAGACAGCCTACAAGCCCCGAACGCTAAATACTGCTTGTCAGAAACCAATATAAAGCAGCCCCCCCCCCACAGATAACAACCCCCCCCCCCCCCCCCCCCCCCCAACAAAGAAAAAAGACACTTACTGGATGCGAACTTATAGTATATCGATAGAGCATGGGCGCCATGTACAAAGCTGAAAAGACGCCCATAACGTACGGGCTTCCACCTCCAGCAGCGTATCCTATCCCACTCCAAGTTGCCCCTAGAATAGCTACACCTGACCTAGTTACTAGATCTTGTATATTTCCGCCGATTTGCGGATGCATGACTGCCCAGCTCACTACAACTACCCACCACACCTGGTAGTAATCCCACCATCCATTACTTTGAGGAAGATATGATGGTACTGACAAGAGGGATGTGACAAGGCAGACTTTGAAAGCATATCTACTTTCAAAACCTTGAAGCCGGTACAACCCTGTCCAAATCTTGTATCGCAATTTTCTCTTTTTAGAAACTGGGGCCATACTCGCGTCGGAGTTCGTCATGGAGCGGTTAAATTCGGCTTGCGGTTCTTCTTGAGCCTGCCCATGATGAATCTGCGATATCGCCTTGTAGTCTAGGGACTTGATCTTGTCGAGAAGCCTGGCGATTTCTACAAATGTCTTTTGATAATACCCCGCAGTAACACCGCCTCGATCATGACGTACCTGAGCGTTGGTTCGGTGAATTGCTTTCCAAATAGGATAAGACGGCAAATACGCGTGAGGCCAGTCTGGTACCCGTTGCATTGAGGCGACTTGGTCCATAAGAGCCTCGACTGTTGCAATGGTTTCCCTAGCACGCCTTGCAAAAACCAAGAGTTGTACCACGTTGGCATCGTGAATTGAAGATACGGGTGTATCATTTGAGTGTAGAATGGTTGATTCCACAGTGTCAAAAGCCGCAATTGCAATTTTTGTTCGTATTTGAACTGGTGCAAGGTCCGAAGAAACCACCTCTGATGGGCCCAGGTACTTTCTATACCCAGATAGATCCATTAGCACGGCGTCACAAACTCGTAGATCTTCCTTCAAGCTATCGAGGAGGTCTTTTGTCGGAGCTCGGAGAGGTTCAACGACATTGCGGATCATGTCATCTGAGGCCGTTTGGACGACAGAATGATTATTTGAGCTTGAAGGGGGAGACTGTTCGTCAACGTTGTCAGAATCACGCCGATCCACGATGACCACACAACCCTGTCCTGAGCGTGACTCATGCAGAAGCTCAGGCTCAGTTTGAAGCGACAGTAGTGCTCGTATCACAGCTTGCATTTTGTTGCGTAATTGTTCAACATCGTCTGGTCTGAATCTTGAGACCGTAATATTGATCCTCATATCTCTATACGCCTCCGAGAGATTCACAAAGGCATCGGCTAATCGCCGCCTCGGTCTCATGCCACACGGTTGGTCCGAGAGATCGAGGGCTTCCTGTCGCATAATCAGCCAAAATATATCATTCCCATAGGGAGAAGTGCACAGACCTGCATTGTGCCAAACGCTTGATGTAACGCCGTGGCTAGAGCTCTGGACCCTGCGTCTGGGAATATTAGAACATTAACAACCAATGCAATGACTTGCCCAAAAAGCCATGAAACAGCGTAACTGCGTAAATTATTCCAGATGACGCTTTGGCTGTTTGTGTCCGCCAATGTCGTGAACATGATTGCTATTCCAGCGCAGAGAACTGCTTGATAGAATCTGATAAAGAAGGCACGAATACAAGCCAAGGCAAGCATGAACAGCGCAAGAAACATGGCCAAGATGCCGCCATAGCCAGCACTGGCGGCAAGAGTAGAAGTTGATAAGAGAAGACCTATTATACCCCAACCAATTCCTATAGTCGTTCCCACAATGGTAAGAACCGTGCCCTCGATTTGGCCTCCTAGGGTGCGAGCTGGGTGGTTGAGAATGACGGATATAACCATCATGTAATTGTAAGGGCCGAGCCAACCTCTTACGCCGGGCGACAGACAAAGACAATATGCAATGAAAAAGGCCGAAAACGTCTTGAAGAGTCGAATTCCTTCTCTCGTAGTTGCTATCCGGCGAAAAAGAGAATTCAGTTGATGCCACTGTCGCGAGACGAAGTACTTTGGCGCTAATGGGTTTGACTTGTCAAATTGTGCCGGTAAAGTGGTCTTTGAGCGCTCCAAGAGATCCGCCACATTAAGATGTAGTGGCTTCAGAAATATAGCCTCAAAGAGTCCCTCGCGGACCTCGGAGACTCCATATGTGTCTTCATCCATGTCATGGTCTGAGAGCACCTGATCGATCTGAGCAATACTCATGGCGGAGCTACGACGACTTTCTAGGCGCGGCCTCGAATGTTTTGTGATATGTGGCCTATTCAAAGAGACTTGTATTGGAGGATCATCTTCCAAGTTTCCGGGGGTGTCGTCTTGGACTTTTATACGCCGTCTAATGTCATCATCGGCCTGAGCCTCCGTATCTTGATTGTCGCTCGACATACTGGCGTCGATTTACTTCTGCCATTGATCTGAGCTTCTTGGTAAAGATCCCCATAACAATGACAGGGGAGCGGCCCCAGAGGTTTAGCAAAAGTTGTTTCCTCGAAGCCGGGCGGTTGTGCGAAGAGATGCAGCGCAGGCTCTTCTTCTTGGTTCCATTGACTTATCCTGGTCCGAAGTCTTGGCAGGTTCAGCAAGCCCCTCCTCAATGCCCTCATCGAGAGGTCGCGCCTTCCCCATGCTTGCCGCTGAAGCCTCCTCACACTTGCTCCATTGATAAACAGCAGAATGACTACTTGCGTAATTGCACGCTTTGCGCAGGCAGTGACGTCGATTGTTGTTTCGTCGAATGAGGTGCCGCCGATATGGCGCCAGGGGGTGTACATAGTGTAATGTGGATCACGTGATATGGCCCGCTGCTTCTGCCGCCATGGACCTCCTCTGCATTGGTCACATCAACAACACATCTCAAATCACCAGCTACTGAGAAACGATAGTCGGCTCGCACCATACAAAACGCAGTCGGGCCAGACCAAAATGGCAATTATTCGACACTCTGTTGCTCCGCTGCGAGCAGTGCGTTGCGCCCGCCAGCCCATCGCTACCAGACCCTTCTCCGTAACCTCCCGACGGCAAGGCGGCGGCCACGGCGAGTCACAATTCGAACCTCCTACCGGCTGGCTCTGGGGCATCAAGCCCGGCGAGAAGCCGGAGCCCGAGGGTTGGGAATGGCCCATGTATATTTTCTGTGGCAGTTTGCTGGCTGCCGGTGTTGCGCTGGCCTTTAAGCCCGACACATCGTAAGTCCCTCGAACCCCGTTATTCCGATGTGGTCGAATTCTCCGCCGCGTACTACAGCGAGACTAGGTTGGTCAAGGACTTCTCGATAAAATACGAGGTAGCGGAATTGCTATATCGGAGAGTTCTTGGTCGTCTATGCCGCATGGTTCTTCCTGGAGCATCGACCCTTTGGAAGACTTCGTTTACTAATGGGGCTGCAGTGTCTCTACTTGGGCCCTCGAGGAGGCCCGACGGCGGTTAGAAGCAGAGGGTGTTCTGCCGGACCCCAGCAAGGACAAGAAGGAATAAACTGGCGACAGGGGACGACGAAGGAAGGGATAGACAGGGGGATATGTTCGATTGGAGTGGGATCGGGGGGCCAACGCGGCATCAAACGCTAATATGTACATGTTTCAAGGGCCTTCTTTTGTTTTGGGCAAAGATAAATTCCTTCAATGGTACGACGCATTAGACTTCTTTCTCAAGTCTCTATCAAATGCTGGCCTCACGTTACCCTACATCGCGTCTGTGCAACTTGTTGTTCTCAACGACCTGGTGACGAAATACTTGCCCAAATGCCCTGTTTTCATACGTGCAGACACGATGGGCTCAAAACCTATTTCTAATTTGATGACGCTGCTACGTTAGGTGTCCAAACTATATATACATGTGCACCGAGCGCCTAACTTCTAGTCTATTCTATCAGAATTCAAAATTACGCAATCTTAACGCTCCATTCATGTTCCTCTTCACCATACTGAATCGCTTCTATCCATTCCTTGACGCGCAAAGCAGTCTCGCCAGACTCCTCAGTCTCCTTCAGGCCACATTCGACGTGCTTTCCCTTCCAGGCAATGGTTCGGATAGGGCTGACAATGGCAGCAGTACCGGCACCAAAAGCCTCCACCAAGCGACCATCCTGAGAAGCCTCATAGAGCTCGTTCATGGTGTACTTGCGCTCAGTGACCTTCCAGCCCTCGGGGACAAGACGCTCGCGGGCCAATGCAAGGACGGAGTCTCTGGTAACACCTTCCAAAATGGTGCCGTCAAGAGGGGCAGTGATGAGCTCCTTCTGACCGGTTTTCTTGTCCTTGAGAACCACAAACATGTTCATGGTACCGACCTCAGTGACGTATTCCTCTTCTCCAAAGAGCCACAAGTTCTGTTGGTAGCCCCGGCTAGCAGCCTGTAACTGGGGCACAATGCAAGGGGCGTAGTTGGCACCGAGTTTCTTATCACCGACACCGCCAGGCCAAGCTCGCACGGCGTAGTCGGTGGCCTCGAGCGAAACGGCCTTGAAGCCAGTAGGGTAGTAAGGTCCCACGGGGGAGGCAATGACATAGAGCAACGCAGAGCCAGGAGGACCAACGCCAAGGGTCTTCTGGGTACCAATCATGGTGGGTCGAAGGTAGAGTGAGTAGCCTCGCTGGTTAGGGATGAATCGTGAGTCAAGGTTGACCAACTTGCTAATGAGCTCGATGAAGCTGGCGGGCTCAAAGGTGGGAAGGGCGATACGGGAAGCGGACTTGTTCAGACGGGCCATGTTCATGTCTGGGCGGAACAAGCGGACCTTGCCGTCCTTGTCCTTGTATGCCTTCATTCCCTCGAAACATTCAAAGGCATAGTGAAAGACGCAGGTGGCAGGGTCTAGGGATAGATTCTGATAAGGGGTGATTTTAGGGTCGAGCCAGCCATCTTCCTGAGTCCACTCGATGGCAAGCATGTGGTCTATGAATTGACGGTTGTTAGGCTGTTCTCATTCCCCAATACATAGAGGGACAAATTAGTTGGCAAGACATACCAGTGAACTCGCGTCCAAAGACAAGGGTTTCGGGCTGGCTAAGCGGCTTGGGGCTGGATGTCTGAGTGATGGAGAGTCTGTTGGGGTCAAGAGCCTTCTGCTTGGAGTCTGAAGCAGCTTCGGCCTTGATGCTAAAGAGACGAAGGGGACGGGAGGCTTGGAGCGTCCGTGAGGACCTGCTGGCGGCCCAGACGGCGCTCCGCGCAAAAGTGGCGGCTCTCATCGGGGAGGGTATGGGCGTGCAGCCGAAGTCTAATGTGTAGTATGGTACAGTATTGTTTCGACCGAAGATGCAATGGCGGAGGACCTTGGGGGAATGGTCGCAATATATATACACGCCGCCAATTGGACAGCCGTGAGGGGTTGTACTGAGCAGGGGAAGGTAGTTTGAGGTTGTCGTCGAAGTGCGGTCTCTCGACAAAAAAAATAAAGCCGGGCTCCCCCAGCAAGGGTGCGCAGGAGTTATGGAGTACCGGTACCGGTACCGGAGATCTGGGCCTGTTGCAGTCAGTGATGTTGCAGCGCACAGCGCAATCGCTGCGTGGGTTGCGTGGGAGCGCATCTGCCCCGGTTGACCAGTTGACAGGCCCGCGCGCCCTTTGGCCTCCGCCGGCTCGGTCCAGCGGCCAGGGCCGAAGGTAAGCGCCGGGGTTTGAGGAAGAGCGCGCGGGTACCGGGTAGGTGGCTTTGTCTTGGGCCAAGCCTTCTTCTTTGTCAGACATGGACCCTCGGGCTCTCTGACCTTGAGACATCTGGCACGTCCAGCTGAGTGGACACCAACTATGCCGCGGGATACACGCCAACAAAGGGGCAGGCATATGGAAGCTTTCCCTGATTAAGTTCTTGCAGCACGACTGCAACTGAGCTCCCTTGAAGACGAAATACTGATCTGGTTTCATTCAGCCCGGACGCTACTAGCTAGCCGTCGCACTGGTTCTATCAATCGCAGCCCAGCCAACTGCCCGCCAGCATCCACCACCGACTGCAGACCACCGACACCTCGACGACATGAAATCACAAGCTTCTGAATCACACCGTCCGTGATATACACCATGTTCACCTCGGCGCTCAAGTCTTTTTCTGCCACCAACATCACCGCAAACTACTCCACGTCGGAGCATCCCATCTCCTCCGCCGGTCCTTGGAAGATTTATGATGCCACCAAGAAGTCCACTGGCAATGCGTACAGCGTCTTCGTCTTCGACAAGAGGACGTTATCGAATGGCAATTCTCTGGGCCGATCCGGGGCAGCCGGCTTCAAGCGCACTGTGGACGAGGTGGTTGAGCGCTTGAAGAAGGAGGCTTCCAACTTGGCAAAGCTTCGCCACCCATCGATTCTAGAGCTAGTGGAACCGGTCGAGGAGTTGAGGAACGGTGTTTTGCAGTTCGTGACTGAGGCCGTCTCTGCGTCCTTGTCTAGTGTGCTGCAGGAGAAGGATGACCAGGAGCGATCAGGAGGGAGGTCGAGTCGGTTTGTCACCGAGGATGCAAGTGGCGTCAAAAAGCGGCGTGAGATTGAAATCGACGAACTTGAGATCCAAAAAGGCTTGTTGCAAGTCAGCCAGGCTCTAGAATTCTTGCACGAAAATGCTGGTCTTGTTCATTGCAACTTGACACCAGATGCTGTGCTTATCAATGCCAAGGTACACCACAATGGACTTACACAGGAACCCCTACTTTGCAAATGACCTACTAACATAAACCCGATAGTCTGATTGGAAGATTAGCGGTTTGTCTTTCTGCAGCCCGGCCGACAACTCAACGAAACCGACCTCGATTCAAGGGATAAGCTTGGGCGAGGTGCTGAATATTGACCCTCGATTACCAAGACATGTCCAGCTCAACCTCGACTATACATCTCCCGACTTCGTCATGGACAATAACTTGACTCCATCTGCAGATATGTACTCACTCGGCTTGCTTGCCATCGCCCTGTACAACTCGCCGCACAAATCCCCTCTCGATAGCCATGGTAGTGTTTCTTCATACAAGAGGTTGTTTTCATCGGGGTCCACCACACCATCCGCGTCCAACGGCTTTTTGTCGTCGCGACCCTTGCCAAAGGACCTGTCAAGCCACGTGTTGCCCAGATTGATCGCCAGGCGACCAGCTCAACGGATGACCGCCCGTGAATTCCAGGAAAGCGAGTATTTCGACAACGTTTTAGTGTCGACAATAAGGTTTTTGGATTCCTTCCCGGCCAAGACCCCGAATGAGAAGTCTCAGTTTATGAAGGGCTTGAACAAGGTGTTGCCATCGTTTCCAAAGTCTGTGATGGAGAAGAAGATCCTGCCAGCACTCTTGGAAGAGCTCAAAGATAGAGATCTGCTTTCACTGATTCTTCAGAATGTCTTCAAAATAATTGACCTGCTACCCTCTGCCCGACGAGCATTCGGTGACAAGGTTCGTCCGGCTTTGAAGGAGATATTCGTCGTCAATGCCAAGCAAGGACAAGAAAAGGACCCGGCTCGAGATGCAGGATTAATGATATTTCTGGAAAACTTGTCACTGGCCGCCGACAACTCTTCTGGAAAGGAGTTTAAAGACGGTAAGCTTGGTTCGCTCGGTCCGGAATGTGCTCTCTCACTGATTCCATTCCACCAGATATTCTTCCTGTAATACTGGCCGCCATTGAGTGTCCCACGCCTTCAATCATAGACGCGGCTTTGAGGACGTTACCGTCTGTTCTCCCCGTTCTCGACTTTAGCACCATTAAGAATGAACTATTCCCTGTGGTAGCTACAGTATTCAGCAAGACGAACAGCCTGGCAATCAAGGTCCGAGGCTTGCAAGCTTTTGTCATCCTATGTGGCGGATCTACGGATGCTGCAGCTGATGACGGTCTGAACGGCCTGATTGAAAATAAAAAGACATCGTCCTCCAGTGCGCTGGACAAGTATACCATGCAGGAGAAAATCGTGCCTCTAATCAAGGCCATCAAGACCAAAGAGCCAGCCGTCATGATGGCAGCTCTTAACGCGTTACGCATTGTGGGTGAAAATGCGGATGCGGATTTCGTAGCAATGGACATCCTCCCAATTCTATGGAGCATGAGTCTGGGACCTCTGCTGGATCTGCGTCAGTTTCAGACATTCATGGAACTCATCAAGACGCTGTCTAGAAGGGTTGAGGACGAACAAACAAAGAAACTGCAAGAGCTATCTGGCACGGCCAACGCAGGAACTGCCCGCCCCAACGAAGACTTCCTCGCATTCGGCGGCGTCACCGGCACCACTTTCGACAGCGGCACCGGCGGGAATGAGGATGATTTCGAAGCGCTGGTCAAGGGTAAGGGGGGCATGTCGGCATCGTCCAACGGTAACAACGGCTTTCCCAGCTGGGACAACACACCGTCGGTCATGTCCCCATCCACCACCACAATCAGGAGTTCATCCAGCACGCCGAAAACACCTTCGTTCTCATGGTCTACACAAAACCCCACGAGTCCTTCGACGACGACGACGACGACGACGCAGCCAGCCATGGGCAGCGGCCAACCGGGCTTCCGCACCGTAACTCCAGATCTGGCGCGGTTCAGCACTCTCGCCCCGTCGTCAACACAATACAGCCGACCGCTGCAGCCGACGCAGCCAAGTACACAACCATCCTTCCAGCAGGCTCCGCAGCAGACCCCATCATCAATCAACTGGTCTGCCACGGCAGCTGCAACATCCAACCCATGGGCTTCATCCACATCAAACTACTCCAACTACTCGAGCCATACGTCCACACAATCAGGCTCCAGCTTCGGCGGCATGAATACGTCCATGTCCAACATGTCCCTTGGGCAGCAAGCCCGACCTTCACTGGGCGGGAGCGACTCACGAAACTCGTCGTTTTCGCTGCCTCCCCCACCAGGCAGCAGTTCCTCGCCAAACACCTCGTTCAGCATCAAGCCGCCTCCGGCACCAGGCAGCTGGGGCGCGCCCACGGCTCAGAAACCGATGGCATCGATGGGAAATTCCGGTCAGCAGATGAATAATAACGCCGGAGGGAAAAAGTCTTCAGGGCTAGACAAGTATGAGAGTCTGATTTAGAGTAGCCCATAAGGAAGGAAGGAGGCGCTGTGTATGTATTGCTAGACTTGGGGATGATTGTACGAGCGGTCAGGCAGGAAAATTTATTGCTGTGAGGAATATTACAGGCCGTCACAACTTGCCCTGCTCTGAATATCCCTTTTTTTTTTAAAATTAATTTCTACGGAGCCATGGTCACGTCACATCACCATAGAGGGATTTGCAACAATCGTTAAATCATGAAATCTACACGATTCTTTGCATCTAGGGTTCTTTACGATACAAAAAAACAAGCCAAATGCACCACCTATCCCTTTCCGTTTCTCAGAACCAGTAGCTTGGTTATTACCCCCCTCGAAGGGATGCCCGACAACAAATGTCTAACACTATATGGAAAGAAAACACATAAGTCGCAGCATTGCCAATAGACACAGGCCAAAACAAAATATATAGTGAAACCAAAGGGGCCGGGGGAGGCGACTCCTGTCAAGTGTGTAGCTCGAAAACGCCTGGCTCGCCTGGATTATCAAGTGTTACCAAAAAAAATTCATCTAAAACATCGTATCCATGATGTTTTTTAAAAAAAAAACGTATAGGCAACTATTTGTATAAAAGGAGATCGCTTGTTCTTAGGTTCAAGGGTTTTTTTTAACGCCGTTTGCTTTGGGGACAACTGCCTCAAAGACATGCCTGTTCTTGTAGCCCGTTTCGGGAGTCACGTTGATGACCTGGTTGGGCGGCACCATTTCATGCCTGAGCGGCCAGCCCAGGCGGCGGCAGAGCTCTGTGACGACAACGTCGCAGTCACCTAGGAGGTCAATGTCGAAGTTGATGTGGCTGACTGCCTGACGGGAAATGTAGATCTGGGGCACATTGGGGGACAGCCAGTTTGAGACTTCGGACACGGGAGTCACCTTGAGGGATGTGCCGATGATGACTACGAGATCGACTTTGTCTCGGTCGTGTTCGGTGAGGCGCTTGGAGAATTCGTCGGGAAGCTTTTCGCCGAAGAAGGTAATGTCTGGCTTCATGACACCGGCAGAGGGAATGTCATAACCCGAGTCGTCGTCGTCGTCATCATCAATGTCGGACCACCGTCTGCTGCGGCGTTTTTCAGTCCCCGCAGAGCGCTTTCTCTTGGTCGCTCCGCCGTTGACACGGAGGGACCGGATACATTTTGGGCATCGGGGGATCTTGCCCGCCTTCA